TCAATAAAAAAAAACATTACTTGCAAAATATTTAATTTAACAAAGAAAATATGCTTAATATGTAAAATATACAAGATTAAATTCAAGTTATTGGGCAACTCAGATATCAAAAGATATATTAAATAAAATATACTTAACATTTAAAATATACAAGATTAAATTCATATACAAACACGAATCATACAAATTCAATATTTAATGATCAACACAAAGCAATAATATTTACTAAATAATCTAAATCTAAATACCCGAGAAAAATGATACAAAATTACAAGCGAGAGAAACGATACAAATTTATAAACAATACTATGAACATGAATCATACAAATTCAATAATTAATGAACAATACGAAGCAACAATCTTTACTAAATAATTTAATACTAAATAACGTTATGTTTAAGAAAATATACTAAGAATATAAATAATCGAGAATAATGATATAAACTTAAAAGCATTATTATAAACTCGAATCATAAAAATTTAATAGTCAATTTTATTTTTTCCATAATCAATAAAAACAAACATAACTTGCAAAAAAATTAATTTAACAAAAAAAAATATGTTTAACATGTAAAATATACAAGATTAAATTCAAGTTATTGGACAACTCAGATATCAAGAGATATATTAAAAAAGATATGCTTAACATTTAAAATATACAAGATTAAATTTATATACAAACATGAATCATACAAATTCAATATTTAGTGAACAATATAAAAAAATAATATTTACTAAATAATTCAAATCTAAATACCCGAGAAAAATAATGTAAAATTAAAAGCGAGAGAAACAATACAAAATTATAAGCAATACTAAGAACACGAATCATACAATTCAATATTTAGTGAACAATACTAAATAACAATCTTACTAAATAACGTTTAGTTTAAGAAAATATACTAAAAATATAAATAACCGAGAAGAATGATATAAAATTAAAAGCACAACTATAAATTCGAATCATACAAATTCAAAAGTTAATTTTATTTTTTCCATATTCAATAAAATAAAACGTAACTTGCAAAAAATCTAATTTAGCAAAGAAAATATACTTAACATATAAAATATACAAGATTAAATTCAAGTTATTGGACAATTTAGATATCAAGGGATATATTAAAGAAAATATGTTTAACATTTAAAATATACAAGATTAAATTTATATACAAACACGAATCATACAAATTCAATATTTAGTAACAACACAAAGTAACAATATTTACTTAATAATCCAAATCTAAATACCCGAGAAAAATGATGCAAAATTACAAGCGAAAGAAATAATACAAAATTATAAGCAATACTATGAACACGAATCATACAAATTCAATATTTAGTTAACAACATGAAATAACAATCTTTACTAAATAATCAAATACTAAATAACGTTTAGTTTAAGAAAATATATTAACAATATAAATAACTGAGAAGAATGATATAAAATTACAAACACTACTATAAACTCGAATTATACAAATTCAATAATCAATTTTATTTTTTCCATACTCAATAAAAAATAATCATAACTTGCAAACAATCTAATTTAACAAAGAAAATATGTTTTACATGTAAAATATACAAGATTAAATTCAATTTATTGGGCAATTAAAATATCAAAAGATATATTAAAGAAAATATGTTACATATAAAATATACAAGATTAAATTTATATACAAACACGAATCATACAAATTTAATATTTAGTGAACAACACAAAACAACAATATTTATTAAATAATCCAAATTTAAATACCCGAGAAAAATGATATAAAATTACAAGCGAGAGAAACGATACAAAATTATAAGTAATACTATGAACACGAATTATACAAATTTAATATTTAGTGAACAACACGAAGTAACAATCTTTACTAAATAATATTTAGTTTAAGAAAATATAATAAGAATATAAATAACCGAGAATAATGATATGAAATTAAAAACACTACTATTTATTCGAATTATACAAATTCAATAGTCAGGTCATATCTTTTGGAAGTCGGTTAAATTTCTAATAGTTATATTTGGTCATTTGACAACATCTGCAGACTTAGTTTATTTGTGGGAGTATTGTTTTAATTTTCATTATATTAGTTATGAATTATGTTATTATTTAGATAAAATTGATTATGAATGTTAAAATCGTGGATTTTGAATCAAAAACAAAATATTGAATATTGTCAACTGATGTATTTTTTCAGATGTTTGAATTATTATGTTTCAGTAGTTATAGCATAATTTGCGTGGCATAATAATTTAATGTGAAAATATATGCTATGCATATAGGTTGATGTTATAAAAAATATTAGTAGACTTATTTTGTTTATCGTTTACTACAATGTTGTATTTTACTTTATATTTATGTATGAGCACATATTTGTAACTAATTTACGAGTAACACCGTGCCTTCAAGCACAGGCAATTGCTCGTATATATATATTTTAAAAAAATTTAAAAAAATATAAAAAATAAATAAATAAAGAATATTATCGTTAAATTTTTTATTGAAAGTTTATGTAGATCAATACAAATACGAACACGACACGAAAGTAAGCAGATCAGCTCGTAACTCGACATGACACAATTAGTTAAATGAATTGAGTTAGATTTGACTAATGTTCGATACAAATCCGTAATGAATAACCAATGGGCCTTTGGTTCAATGATATTCCTTGTCTTGTGAAAATTTTGTCTTCTTGAGGTTAATGGTTCCAGTTTCCTTCCCCCTTCCCCTCCCCAAAAAACATATTTAAAAAATAAATAAATAAATCTGTAATGAATCAACACGAATTTGACACAACACGACACGACTCGATTGCCACTCCTAATCTTAGCCAGCACAAAAAAAAAATAGTTATTTTTATTTTTCATTCATCCAACAAAACACAAAGAAATGAAAGTGTATCATTCTTACTTTCCTTCCTTGAAAGATAGAAAGTGTATCTCTCATATTTTCTATCCTTTTTATTTTTCGCCCATTGTACTAAACGAAATATAAAACTTTATGCAAACGCAGCAACAAAATGAACTAATCTTAAAGATATCTATGAAAGATATCTATGCAACAATCTCAATTCGTTTCTTTCGTCCCTACCTTATAAAGAAGCAACAATATATATTTCGGGATTAATGAGTCTAGGTGGGTCGGAATATATATATTTTTTTTTCCATTTTCTTGACATAGTTTTTGCATGTTATTATGGAAATTATCATCTTTTGTTTACGTAGTTGAATAAATAACGGATTGTGGAGGATTTGTGGATTATGGACTTGGCTTAACGGATTGGCCATTGTTTTTTGGGGTCGATTGGTGGTAGATATGGTAATGCTGGTGAAGTACTCATTAGTGGTGCTCACGGCGGAGAAGGGGTAAAACTTCGGTATTTTTTTATAGAACATATAAGGAATATAACATATAAAATGTTTAACATTATTGTCGAATTTGATAGGTTTGCACTTATTTTTTGGTAGGCCGTGGGTGTTGGGACTGTGGTGGTGTTGCTGAGAGTTAGTGAGTTTTATTGACAATCGAAGTAGAAGCAGTGTGATATTTTTTGAAGCAAGTGATGGGTTGCTAGTGATGGACATGGTGATCTCTCTCTATTTGTGCAATTGGAATGTGTATATCTCTCTTTTATTTGTATACTCTTTCCTTAAGGGCAATGATATTGATACCTAAAAATTTGACTTAATCTACATACTTAAAAATAGTGTTTTATAAAACTGAAAGTTAAATATTGAAAATTAAATGCTAAATTTTTTAATTCGCAGACGGCTTGGTATCTACTGATATTTAGGTATTGAATTAAATCAAACTATTTGACAAATATAAGAAACTAAAGTTTGAAAATTATTAGGATTATAATTTTGTCCTTATTTTTAACCATTTCACTGCAATTACCTTATTCTTACTACTACCATCACAATGGTTGTAGTCATGACGGTGGTGATAATGGCGGCACAATAGTGGTGGTGGCCACGGTGGTGATGGTGGTGGTAGTGGTGATGGTGTGGCGGTGGCACCACGGTGGGTAATAGCACAATTTGTGGTGGTGGTAGTGATGGTGGTGGTGGTGGTTCTGGCACAATGGTGGTGATGGTGGCGGCACAATGATAGTGGTGGCAGCGGCGACGGTGATAGTTGTGGTGATGGTGGTGGCTTATTGGTGGTAGCGGTGGTGGGTATTGAAAAGTTAAAAATGTAAAGTACATTAAGGGTATATTTGTCAATTATGAAGAATTTATAAAATCCTTACTAACATTTTCAACATCAAGTGATAAATAGATGACTTGCTACTTAAAATTTTGGCATATTTTTAAAAAGTGGTATGAATTTTAGATTATTAAACAGGTTTAATTCATTAAGTGTTAAAATATTTATTTTTAAGCATTAAGTCATGCTATCAAACAACCCCTTAATGATGTGGTAGTAACACAGTCAAATAGAATTATTGTAGCTTTAATTGTTTGTATGGGGGCAAAACTTGTACCTGACGACTCTTTTTTTGAGGAACAACGATGAAAGTTTATTACTGAAAAATATCAGCAAGAAAGAGAGACAAAACAAATTTGGGTGCCTGCTCCAACCATACAATGCTACTATTTAAAGGTACTTCAAAACGAGCTAACTCATGTGCTACATTATTCCCATTACGACAAACTTCAGACACTTCAAAATAGCGAAAACTTCTCACTATACTATTAATGTCTTGAAAAATGGCTTCTAAAGGATCGAACTCACCATCACCTTCTCTGATAGATTGCATGACCACTGCAGAATCCCCTTCTAGTATAATATCTACTAAACCTTGCTGCCTTGCAAATTGGACCGCAACTTTTGCAGCTATAGTTTTTGCTTTACGGATATCACACCTCATGACAAATCTTCTGGACAAGGCCCCAACAAAATCACCCCTGTCATCTCTTATAACAACTCCCACCCCTAAGACATTTTGCTTTGAAAAAACAGTAGAATCGAAATTAACTTTGAGTGTACCTGCTCTTGGGGGACACCATCCAGCGTTGAGGCTTTGCGAAGGACTACTACCAGCCTGATCAACTGACTCTCTATACAGCCTATAATAACCAATAGCTTTCCTCTGCACTTCAACAGGGTTCTGAGCCATATTTTCAAAAATCCGAAGGTTCCTATTTCTCCACACAAAAAACAAAATAAGAAACAAAGAAAATTCATCAGAAGTGAGAACCTAATGAACATCGTGCAGCCACTGCCCTGAGTTCGATACCATAAATTGGGCTGCTGCCTAAACTGAATTGACTCTCCATACTGTATTAGCCCAAGGACAATCCCTTAGGCATTGTACCAAAGACTCCCCACCTTCTTGACACACTCCACAATTCCAGTCCACATTCACTTTCCTTCTCCGAAGATTATCCCCTGTTGGAAGAGCATTAGAACAGACCCTCCAGGCAAAGATCATAATTTTATTTGGGATTTTCTGATTCCAAACAAAGTTCCAATTTAGTTGTCCAGCACTTGAAGAAGGAGATGAGTTGCTTGACCCATCTTGCAATAGCTTTTGATCAATAATAATATGGTATGTGCTTCGAACCGAGAATCTACCATTTGATTATAATGCCAAATCAATCTATCCTCCAATGAATTCCTGCTTAGTGGAATGCTTTTAATCACCAACACCTCAAGAGGCAGAAAAACATCATCCACCAACTGCTCATTCCAACTCCATGATTGTTCATTAATAAGGTCCCCAACCGAAGTAGGTAAACTCCTTCTAGGAGAAACAGTCTTGAAGCTTACAGGGGTAGGAATCAACCTATCCGTCCAAATTTTAACTCTGGACCCGTCACCTATTCGCCATCTTGAACCTGCTTCCACAACTTTCCTTGCACCCAAAATGCTTCTCCAAGTGTATGATGGTCTATGCCCAATCTCAGCCTCCATGAAAAAAGTCGAGGGGAAATACCTAGCCTTAAGCACTTGATGGAAAAGAGAATTAACTTCTGTATTTAATCTCTATGCCTGTTTCGCAAGCATTGCCAAATTGAAGGCCCTTAGATCTCTGAAGCCCATACCGCCCCTCTCTTTCCTTGTACACATCCTTGACCAACTGACCCAATGTATTTTCCTCTCCCTTTGTCTTTGACCCCACTAGAATCTGGTCGCAAGTCTCTTGAGTTCTTCACAAAAATTATCCGGGAGTTTAAAACACCCCATGGCATATGTAGGAATGGACTGCACCACCACTTTAATTACAATATCCTTCCCTGCTCTAGATAAGAGTTGTTCACTCCATCCTTGAATTTTACTCCATATCTTTTCCCTTAAATTGCTGAAGACTTCTTTTTTAGATCTACCCATCACAGTTGGAAGACCCAAATATTTGTCATGTTGGTAAACCCGTTCTACCCGCAACATATGCTGAATTATGCTGGCTTGCACCTCCGAAGAATTGCTGCTAAATACCACTGCAGACTTTTCCAAATTGATTTTTTGGCCTGAGGCAACTTCATAAATCGCTAAAATTAGCTTCACAGCTTCAGCCTCTTCTTTAGATGCATTAAAGAATAATAAATTGTCGTCAGCAAACAAAAGGTGTGAAATACGTCGACCACCCCTTCCCACCGAAACTCCTATAATCGCACCATGCAACTCTGCATTCCGTAAAAGTGCTGTTAAACCTTCTGCACAGATCAGAAACAAGTAAGGTGAAAGGGGATCTCCTTGACGAAGACCCCTTTCAGGATAGAAAAAACCCATTTGATCATTGTTCAGCAAGATGGAATACGAAACAGTTGTAACACAAAGCATCACCAGAGTAACCCATTTACAATCAAACCCCAACTTAATCATCATCTTTTCCAAGAA